TTAACATGGTAGTTTTTTTCCTTATGCGGCCCTCCACATAACTCCAACATCATGTGTTACTAATGCAAGTGGTGAAGTGCATTTTATGGGACAAAATTGTAGCTATAAGATACTGAGGTTGTGATGTACTGTACCTGTTCCTTCTGTATACACAGTTTGCAATCCACCCACTTCAAGTCTCCACGTTTCCTGATTAAAATTTTTTTTGGCCATATTTTTGTGATGTTTTTATTTCTTTGCAGTTATTATTTATAGCTTTTATCTATATACAGCTTTAAAATTAAGCACAATCAAAAGCGTTGATGGCAGTCTGGATCATTCATTCAGTTCATTTTGTACATATTGCTTGCTTCCTGCTTGCTCCTACCTAAAAATATTTTTCTAACGGAAAATTCTCAAAATCAAAAAAATCTATACAGCCAATCTTAAACAAAAGCACCTGTTGACAATTTAAAGTTTTTTGCGTAGGAGCTCTGACTTTGCACAGCTGTGACAGAAATATATTTACTCTGGACATAACAGACCAATTTGATTAAATGGGTTGTTGTATTGTTGTCTGCTTCACAGCCAAATCAGCCTGTGGACTTCTTTTTTCAGCCACAGTGGTGAAACAGCAGAGTGACAAACTTCCTGATCCCATAAATAACCACCCCATTTGTTCCAACCTACATAGGTTTACTCTAACCCATCTAACCTCTACTAGCTCAGCCCAGCATGGCTCAGTCTAAACCTGTCAATTAGTTGGACTTGTTTGTTTGCTCACATCTGACCATCTCTCTTCCATTCATATTTAAACACTGTCCTTTATATCCCCACATCTGTCCATTAGTGCTCTGCTGTAGATGGCAAACAGCCATGAATTTACCTCAGGGCGATGCAGACGAGAGCTACGGAAGGAAGAGTTGATAAAAGAGCAGGGGGAAACTGCGGCAAAAATTGTGAAACTCCTATGTATTTCATTTTGTCTTACATAATTCATCCTGAAATGGGTCTTGGATGATGTAAACCTGTTCAGAGGCACCCTCCATTCCAAGCCTTTACCCTTAAATATCTCTGTGGTTGGAGTGTCCTGAGGCAGTTTGGACCCACCAGCCTTCCCTACCCCCAGCCTTAATAAATCATTATGAAGCAGAGCCGCACTTATCAAGCTGGTCAGAGACCCTTAATGAGCGCAGGGACCACAACTCTGCACAGCCCCAGAAATATTTTATTAAGAGCACATTTAAACACACACTGCTCAGGATGTATGCCCACATTGGTGATCCCCCTGTATTACATCTGCATCCTAAATAGCAGGGTAGAGACCGCAGGCTGTATGTGAGATCCACACATTGTTTCATTTGCCCACTATGATGCAACTCTGTCCTCTAGTATTCCTTGTCCACTAGCCTACGCTGAGTGCCCTCTATGGAGCGCTTGGATTATTTCCTGGATCCTGATGGCTCCTGTGGGGCCTTATGACCTTTGCTCTTATGCTCTAGTTATGATGGCCCTTCAGAGAAGAGAACATACTCGCAAGTCAGACTCAGATCGTCTCCCTGAATAATGATTGTCTGCTTCTCTGTGCCTCTTGTGTCCTTTATGTGTGAAATTGAAAAGGCAGAATTATGAAAATCCACATGCTTTTTGATGCAAACCTTGACCAAGACCCACTTCAGGATTTTCTAAGAAATATGAACATTTTTTTTCTTTTAAATGAAACACCAACTGATTTTTTTTTAAATCAAACATTATGCCAATCAAATACTGTCTCTTTTCTCTGTCAGATATTGTACTTTTAGGCCGAAAAGAACCACAATCTGAATAGTTACTAGAGAACAGGCTTGGTTTTGAACACTATAGCAATCTATTTCTTTATGACAGCTTTGTCAAATGAAACGGTTTGTACCACTTGTAGCATATATTATGTGAATGAAGCAACTACTATTGTACCTTTTAAAAAATATTCCATGTACTTCTGCTCATGTATTTTTTCCTAACAAATTAGTGCAATTTAAACCAGGAGGTAAGGCACTTGGAGGTAAAATGAGAAATAGAAAGAGATCATATCACAGGTTAAGGCCAGTCTCTTTGATACAGGCAGACTATCATTAAAGAAATGCTTATGCTCCCAGCCATGAATCCATGATTCAAAAATACCTGACCTAGGATAATGGCAAGTACATTGTTAATGCATAATTTTTTTAATAAGTTGGAAAATTGCTTAGGCCATTGAACAAAGTCAGAATGAGCAAGGACTCACTGACAGTAATAATAAAAGGTAAGAAAGTTTTTCTTTTACATTCCTTTTAAGTTTCCAACATCCAAGACTGAAGAAAACTGGTCAGAAAAAAAAAAAAAATCATTACTCAGTTGTTTCATCTGACTCTTTTCTTCCCCAGCACAGAAACACCAGGCTGATTAAAGATGACTAAAACCGACCAAGCTACGTAGTCCTCCTCTTTCCTCCTCTCTTCAACTTTTATTTTTAATGGAAAATCGGCCCTGAGCTCGTTTACTCAGGAACAGAGGGATATAAATGTTTTAAAATTTACCCAAAAAAGAAAAAGAAAGGGAAGAAAATGGAATGGAAGGAGGAAAGGATGGGTAATATGAGAAAGATTTTGTTCTTAATAATTCATAAAGCAGTCCTTCAGTCTCCCTTTTTCTCTCTGCTGACTGGTGTTTGATGAAGATACAGGCTTTTTCTCTGCTGGGCTCCAGCAAGGTAAATGTTGCACAGTGTAGATAGGCCTCTGATAAGGCCAATATATGAGACACTTACCGGGGGGAGTGGGAACAGCATTACCCAGACAGAACATGGGGAGGAGAGCAGAGCAGGACCTGATCAGGAACAAGGCCCTAAGGGAAGCCGAACAAGGCCCTAAGGGAAGCCAGACAACACAACAAGTCAGACTGCAGACTGATTGTAGCACCCAGGGTCACAGGGTCAGCCAGAGGGTGCCACGTGGATGCTTACATCCTTGAAAACCTATGCTTGCTTAGGTAAAACAGAAGCATCTCAATATTAAAAGGGACAGGAGCATTACTGACATTATTTTGGACATCTGTTGTGTCTCATATGAAGCGCTCTCTTTCTGGTATTTTTTTCAAACTGCGATGGTTTTCTACACAAGAAGGAACTTGTATATTTAAAGTATTTTGTGCACAAATGATATAATTTTTGTCCAGGATTCACAGTGACATTTTCAGTGGTTTGTAACAATGGAAAAAGAGGACAGGCTGAGAGTGTGTAGAGGGAGTGAGGTAAAGATGAGGAGGAAGGAAGAGGACTTTGCTGCTCTGAGGTACAGCCCTCTGATCTCCTCTTAAGTTGTGGCCCAGCATGCTCAGCAGTACAGCCAGTCAGGGTTCAAGCTCTGCTCAAAGGGTTCCCCTCTCTGAGGCTCCACTGTGTAACTGCTAGGCCACCGCTTCTTTCCACCTCAGTGATCACACACACACACACACTCTCTGACCAGTTCTCGCATGTTGACAAGGTGTTTGAGGAAGCGTTCTGTGATAATGTTCCAGTATTGATCAGCTATTTGTGATGATAGCTGTTGGGAAAGTGGCCTGAATTCAATCTGGAATGATTGTTAATATATGGGATTCAGGATAGGTGGCTCAGCCTGCTGTCTGCCATAGTAGGGGTGTGTATGAGGGTGTTGGGGTCCAGGGTTCACCAAAGGTGAGGGACCCTCCTTCCCATCTGTAGTCCTGGGAGTCAAGTTCAGCCAGAGGGTCTATGGGGGACCGAAGGTCTGGACGCCATGTCCATCTGGATCAATCTGCATACAGAGGCCAGCTGACTGAGACAGCCCCTTCTGGTTAGTGACAGGAGATGATGGCTGAAGGGAATGCTTGATTTGGGAAATGTGATTTTCCTAAGCAGTAGAGAACTGAACTGCTGGCCTTTATATTCGGTTAATGCAATGCAAATTGATTTTCAACATCACCATCACTGCTTATATCTCACTGGTTCATGTTTATTTGACTTACAGTATGTATGTAATGGACCGATTTGGCCAATAATTATTTTATTTAAAAAGAGAAAATAACACTATAATAGAGTAACATTAAACCTTGAACTTGGCAACTTAAATGCACACTTATACAAAGTGAAAGCATTTTTCAAAAGCACACTTACATTTAAATGTAAATTTAGCAATTTTTGCTCTTGGGGTGGGTGCTGACAATTCTGTTTTGTTTGTTAGTAGATGTCATGCATTTGTGAGTGTGTGTGTCTAAAGCATTCATGAGATTAGTGTGAACCTTGTCCTCCCTGAAGGTGCACAGGCCAGGCACGCTGCTGCCGCTCATATGCATCTCTTTTAATGTCTATTGTGTGTAATCACAGTCCTCTTGCTTCTCAGTGCCAGACTTTTGACCCTTTTTATATTGCTGTCCATTTTCAGCTGCCCCGCAACCTAACAGGCATTAGGCTACTGAACAGATGTGCAGGGCGCAGCCAGTGAATGCTAATGAGAGCTTCTGAAACACCAGATTCTTAGTCTGGATGACAAAATGAGAAAAGGTAGTAGAAGGCATATTGATTCCAGTTTTAGTGAAATAATCTTTTTATTTTCAAAAGCTTTATAGCTAAAACTCATAAGTCTATGACGGAGCCACTGGTCATGTATGTATTTATGTGTATGTGTTTGCCTATGTCAGTGTGTGCACGTGTCTCTGAATGTGCATTGTGGCCATTCATGCCTCTGTTTAGCTGTGTCCCCAGGCTAGACAAAGCACACAACTCCTTGGCAGTTCCCCCCCTGTCACTGCATAGGCCTCAGTGTGCGAGTGTGTGATCAATCTCACGTGGACCAGTCATGGTGTCAGGGCAGCAGAGGATCTGACTCTCTCTCTCTCTCCCTCTCTTCTCTCTTCGTCTCCCATTTCTTTTCCTTTTTCTCTCCTGCTCCTCGCCATCCATCCTTTTCTTTGACTGTGGGACTGTAGGAGTGCCGGGTCAGGAGTGAGTCTATAGAGCGCCCATCTTTCTAGAGGATAATTAATGCATGTCGTGCTGGAGGGCTGATCCCACCGCCGGACTGACCCTAACAGGTACCTGTGCCTTCCTTTTCTGTGGAGCAGCCCTGCTCTGTTTTAACTCAGCTTTGCTGACTGAATGATTTCCTGACCAGCACTCACTCATGCTTTCACTTATTCACACACACACACACACACGCTCTCTCTCTCTCTCCCTCCCACCTTCTCTCTGTCTCACACACACACACACACACACACACACACACACACACACACACACACACACATGCACAGTGTACACAAGGCAGTGCTCCTGTGCATGCACACCCTTTACTGAGTAACTTTTATTAGTGTTTGCTGGGGTGAGAATAGCTTGGTTTCCTTCTTGATCTACATTGTGTGGGTTTACAAGTTTACAGGTGTAGAGTTAGAGACACGTTGTATGCTCTGAGGTGGCAAATGTCATGTTTTTGAAGTTGAAGTGGGTTGTCTTTACTGCTCTGGGCTGTACTAGGTGCTTCTACACCTCTGATCGACTTTCTCAAAGGTTACAGCTTTTCTCATTTCTGTGATTTTGTGTATTTGATCTGTTATTTCTTGCTGAGATAAAAACCAAAGTATGTGGCAAACTGATGAATCTGAATTAAATTTTTACTCTTTACCCTGAAGTGATTATTGAAATGTTTCAGTTTTATAAATAACAAATTCATAAAAATAAGATGGGAGATATTTGCTATTTCTTCCATTTCTAATTTATTTCTTGGTTTTTATACAGTAACATACATTGTGATTGTTAATGGCATTAGATGTGGTAGTTTTCTATACAACTGATTTATTCTGTTTACATAATCATGTTACTACTGATTTAACAGGTATTCATCATAATCAGGTAACTTAGTAACAGTGTAAAACTGATATCACATGCAGTCTTCAGTTTTTGTTACTAGATCAAAGTGCCTTGTTTTTCTTAGTTTTCCGTTGCCCATTAGTTTGGATTGACAGACTGGATCAGCTCAGAGAGTCCTGTAGGCATGTACGCAGGCAGCTACTTCACAGGTCTGAGGGAAGAGGAAGAGGTGTTTCCTCTAAATGTCACTCTCATTTTTAGATGAAGGCATGTTTTTCTAAAGGGTCAGCACAAGAAGTTATGGTAGGTGCTGCTCTGGGGGCAAATTTGGGGAGCATGTGATGGTCTTTCAGAAATCTTAGTCCTTTTCTGCACAATTACCCACCTGTCAAATGTGTTTAAAATGTCGTCATGTATGGTGTTGTATTTTAATATTACTTAAATACATTATCATTCCATTTATTAGATGAGGCTAGGTGACCCATTTAGAAGTTTTTAAACTTAATTTACACGTACATATCCACCAGTCCAAAAGGTTAATGGCTGACAAATTAACCCCTGCAGCATTATCTTACAAATGGCCTGCAGCATATGATAACCTATAATCAATATCACCAATTATGTGTCAGACAGAGGCTATTGGCCGTGACCTGTCTCTCCTGAAGAGACTTTCTGAGGAAACAGGATCTCTTCCACTATGCAGATGCAGCATCTCTCCCATTTTGATGTCATTACAGACACCTGGGACCACCTATCATCCACTGACTGCATCTATTCATCTGGTTCTGTTGCTTCATACTCTTCTACTCTGCTTCCTCTTCTTGTTCTTCTCCATCATTGTCTCATCTGCATCCTCCTCCTCATCTTCTTGTTCTTTTTCATGTTTTTGTTTGTCTTTCTCTGTTTCCTTTTTTTTAAATTAGACTGGTCTGGGTTTGATTGTAAGCTAAATTAAAAAAAAGATTTTGAACTTCTATGAACATAGTTTCATTCAAAACACCTGAAACTTATTAATTCCGTCTAATTAAATTTTTATAACAGTTGTTGCCATGATTTTTATCATTATTAGAATGACTTCAGATATATTTTTGTTTCTAATATATGCATACTTTATTACCTGAACCAGTGATGGAAGTTAGAGAAACTGCATTTTTGTTTCTCCTCTGACATGAATTTGGGCAGGTTGTTAACTTGAGGTCTCCTACACAAAATGAGTTACACAAGCCAAGCTTACAATTAAAACAAAATCAAGTGACTGTGTTGATTCCCCTGTGCAGTGGCATCTCACAGAAAACGACAGTGACTCTCTCTTCAGCCTTGCTAGTTGTCCTGACCTCCTGTCACCTTCTGGTTCCAAGTGTTGCAAAGAGACAATTAACTGGCATGAAAACAAATTAAACATACACAAGCTGTAACTTCTAGGAATGATTTTAACTCTGATGTCCGACAACTACTGACGTCTTTCCTGACTCTGCAACATTTATTTTTACGGTTTATTTCTGTTAATTAAGTCGATCTGCCTTTAAACTCCAACCAGTGTTTATCGCCGCTATAATTTCATAAGCTGTAGGCCGCGTTTTCCTAATTAAAAAACTGGGTTACAACCAAAAAGTACTGTGGGACTAAAGCCATTTAATGTTTATAGTAACGACAAAAATCTCAAATAGGGGCCTCAGCACGATGTTTAGATCTGTAGCTCCAATTAAAGGCCATAGCTTCAGTCGGTGCCCAGCAAATTTAAACGGCAGGTTTACAAAAAAAAAGAGACGAATTTCTGCTTAGACACACTTATATTTATGAAATGTGCCTTTTGTAAACAGCGTGAGATTGAAAAGCAAATGAAAGTCTTAAGTTTTAAAAAATCTTAGTGAGGTATTTAATTTTTATTTCTGACAGGTGTTTACTCTTGTCTAAGTTTCCTGGCAATGTTTTATTAACAGATCGGTTTCAACTAGAAATCATTAAACATCTACATGGCACCCTGAAGACAAAGCACAAATAGTAATTGGAGCCAAACTCAGCCTATTTACATAATAATAATAATTACATAACAACAACAATAATAATACCTCGCGATAATAACACTTTAATAATGATAGTATTTATGACTAGGACATTGTCGGGGAGGCGTCTGGACAGAAGGTGCTGCTGTCTGTGTCCCCTGTCTGTTACTGGTCACTGGCTGCAGAGACCTTGAACTTCACGGAGTTGGCTGGGGGATCAGATGCGGGAGGGGGCCAGCTGAGAACCATATGCCTCCCTGTGACTGCCGTGACACCCAGCGCAGAGTGACTGATGCTGACCGGCTCTCATGGCGAGGACAAATCCCCACTGCTTCTCTGGCTCCTGGATATTTTTCCTCAGCATTTTGCTTGTGCACCTTTGTGCCATGTTTTGAGAAACATCTGTGGCGACTGTGAATCTGCTGTATTCCTGCGGTTCACTCAGTTAGTGGCCTGCGTGTCACTGGCTGCGGAGAAGCCTGCGGTTGGTGAGATTCATTAGGAACGCAAACCCGATGTTAATTTTAAAATAGCCTGTGTTTTCAGCAAGATTTTTTTTGTTTGTTTGTTTAGATTTTTTTTGGTGAAAATGCCTTGTATTTAAAAAACACGTTGAGGCTGCAGATGGTTTCAGCAGCTGGGGCCTATAACGTATTCAGCCTAGAATCTGTTGTACAGACTGAGATGTGGGGATTAAAGGTTGGTTAACTTAGGCTGGGTTTACCCCACTACACCACACTGTCTCTGCTGTCCAGACCTGCTCCACGTTTAGGCCCGTCTTTGCCCTTCAAGGATAGGATGGCACGGGGGGTGGGGGGTGGGGGGGGCTAAAAGCTTACTGTAACCAGTAAAAATAGAAACATGCAGGCAATTAATTATTTCTTTTGCTCTTTTCTAAATGTCGTGATCGTGGCTCGACTGCTTTCATCGTCCGTTTTTTTTCAAACACGAACTATTTTGTTTCACAAATGTTAATTGATTAATGATCAGACATTCTTGCCAGTAGATACGTTTACATCCTGCATTGATGTTTGAAGTTTCTATTTTTGTTGCACATCAATTGTGGCAGTGTAAGACTACAGGCCCTATGTAGCTACGATATGTCAGCTCATGCAGTAACTATGATGTCATGCTTGAAATCCCTTTGGTCTTTGAATGACTGAAAGTTACTCTTAATAATGAGGACTAAATAAACATTATTATTTCTTTCTGCTGGGGGAAGAGGGGGAGTTGGGGCAACGGTGAGCGATAAATAAATGATGTTTAGAGTCGAAACTTGAAAACAAACCCAGGTAGATAAAGCGTCTGATTGTGGCAGTTCCCAAGATGATTTGTTTGCCGATTCAGCATCAACAGCAGTGAAATGAGGCCAGATTGCTTTACCTTTATCATCTACATTTGTTATTGCTTTTTAGACTGATAAAATGATGCATACATATATATATTTTTTCAGGGTGCTAGGATTATTTGGCAAAGCTTTGCAAGTATAAACACTAGGCCTGAATTAGCCTATGCTAAATTGTTAAGGTGCCTCAACTAGGCCTACCTGAAAAACCAAAGCAGATCTTGGCTATAGGCTAGGCCCTATATGTATGGAAAATAAAATGCTTGCTTCTGTCTATGTGTCAGTACATTTTTTTAAAGATACATCTTTTTTAAATTGAGATAAAAATGATTTAGATTTGAGCCCTGTGAGCAGGCTTAACAAAATAAACTGCAGCCCTGCCCCGTTGCTGACATTGTTGAGCCTAATTGTTGTATTCATGCCAACAAGTGTCCTATTAGAATATAATGAATATTAAATAGACGGAATAAACTTGTCAGTTTCAATTGGATCACTTGCCAAATTCCTCAACAGTTGGCCTGCGAGGCAATTAATACAAGCTATTACCCCGCGATAAAGCGTAATTAGCCCCGATTAGTTCAAAAAGGGAGGGGGCTGGCGCTAATTGAAAAGTCCTTCAGAAAAGGAGGCTGTATATTGTAGACACGGGGCTCCTTAGCTCTCACTGGTAAATACCATTCATATTCAAATGAGAGTGACAAAGTTTGGCACGGAAACAAACCGACGTCCGCCTCCTGGCCCCCCATTCTGCCTTTTGTTAAGCTGACACGTGTTCAAAGGGGCTGATTTGGTTAATTCTGTAGAAGGATGGCACCGTGCCCGACAGCTCGGGAAAGGAGGCCAGCCCCAAACACAACACGGCCAATAATTAAAATGACTA